AAATTATGATTATATTTTTTTGATCTGTTATTTTATTTTTCATAATTGTTATCCACAAATTTTATATGGAGTCGACGAGAGAGAAGATGAATACATTCCGAAGCATGATTTCCTCAAGTTGCCGCCGACGACGGCGTCCTCTAAAGAGGGTTTCGACGTCGCCACAATCGGGAAAAGATGATTGGTTGGTTGTAGGGAATTTGAATTTTGCTTTGATTTTTTTTTTTTGGGTTTTGGATTGTGTGTAGATTAGTCATTACGTTGAAATTCGTATACATTGGGTTAGAGTATATGTACAGTATATGTTTGGTATATGCAATACCTTTTGTTGTCTTTTTTTTTTATGTTAGTAGACATTGAATTGGAGTATATGTACAGTATATGTTTGGTATATGTGATACCTTTTTTGTTGTCTTTTTTTATGGTACGTCTGGTATATGCGATACCTTTTTGTTGTCCTTTTTTATCTTAAACCAAACAGTATATTGTTGAACATAAACCCCAAATAAACTGAACATAAAGATAAAGTATAGTGAACATAAACAAAAAAATATACTTGCACACATAAACTAAATTGCTGAACATAAACCAAAAATATTAAAAACTACATAATTTATTTCTATGAACAAATACCAAAAATATACCGCACATATATCTCAGAAAATAGTGCAAAAATATGGGTACGTAAATAATATATTTTTTCAAAATAAAAAACACCTATGATCAATATATTATAGTTAACATTCAAATATAATATCTTTTCTATATTTGAAAAACTGATATTGTGCCCCTAAAATTATGGAAGTTGTTCAGTTAACTGTTCACAATCCACGAAACGGTTTTTTAGGTATGCTTATAAATACTTTTTATATTTTAGGTATATAAACAAATATTTTTGTTTGGATGGTAATTTCGAAATTACTTAAAAATCTGCATGTACAAGTGAAAATTTCCCATCCAAGAATGGTACAAATATGGGCCAAATAATTCAAGAAAAGAGTTGGGCCATAATTTTATTTGGGCTAGATGAATAAATCATGGGTTTTGGGCCAATAAAAATAACATAGCAATTGATGTTTGAATTAAATTCCAATTGAGCCCAGATTTAAACTTAAGACTTGCTCAGAAAAACGGCTCGAATACGATAGCAACGATAACTTAAACCGAATAATATATAATAGAATACACACAATAATATTTATTTAATAATAATAATCATTTAGACAATTAATATAAATAAATACTAATTAAAACAAATAATAGCAATTTGACAATTTAGGCATTAAAATAATAATAACAATAATAGTAATAATAATAATAATAATAATAATAATAATAATAATAATAATAA